TTGCATTAAAGGGGCACTGCGGCACTTTTTGAACAGTCTTATTTAGCACTGGATTGCGTGTAGTGATGATTACCGAGACAAATGCAACAAGAATTATAGAAGTTGGTGCACGGAAAGGGAAGCTATGAGTCTTTAGAGTTCAAATCTCGAGCAGACGACGACGAGAAACGTTCTCTTTTGCATTTGACTCACTTTCCGACGTCAAATACCGCTTCCAATCACAGCTCGGGTCTTGTAAAGACATACCGGAAAGGTAAGCTCATGGTGGCCTTCAAACAATACCCCACTACAGCTCCTTTTGATGGCATTGTTAGCATGGTTATTACGAACCACAGGCGTAGCAGATACAACCCTGTAGCACTGTGTTAGATACACATATGCACTTTGGGCAGGGTGACTTCCTGGCTTGCTTGCAAGACGGTTCTACGGCAATGCCGGCACCCACCACCTGTCACATTTTTGGCACATTAAAAACATGGCACGCATTTCCACTTCCAGTTGCTGGCGTACCATAGCCTCGTTCGCAGGCTAAGTGTTGTGTTCGTTGTTCTGAAAGTACACCATTTATAAACAGGAATAATTTCTTTCTGAGAAAGTGTAAAAGAAGTTTGTGCTGTTTTTGGCATTTACTCGTATGCACAAGCTGCCAGCATATGAATATTGCACGCTCTGTGTAGCGTGCAGCCAATAAAAAACTATTGGTCCTTGTCGCCACGTCACATAATCCTACATCACTTCCCATAACAAAAATAGCTTATGTGTGTTGCCATGGTCTGAAGTCAAGGTAGTTTGTCTCGTGAATTAAAATTATAACAGCACCAATTTTGGCGTTGCCATTTGTGCAATAATATCGTCGCTTTCCATAACACCAGAAGAACCTATAAAAAATACACGCTCAAATAGTGTCGGAGGGCCCCTTCAAACATGAGCGTAAACATGATGGCAATGCGATGAAGTGAATATGCAAGCAATGTATCTTTCGAGCAGTGCTGCGAAGCTCCCTATATATGGCACAAATTCCCCTAGCGATTTTCGCCTTTGCAGTTGCACTCTTTATAGATATCAGTCTTCCTGTGTGTTGAACTCTATTAATTACGCATGTTAGAAGGTTAACTTGACAGTTGTCTTCTGTTCGTGTATACTGAAAATATACTGCAGGCATGTCCGATTTCTCGGTGTACAACGAAAGGCGAAACCGATGCCTCCGAGACAAAAATCACTGAGACCAACGGCAAGAAAAACCCGATTATGGTCACGATCGTTTTGCGATTTACCTTTGAGACATACATGTTCGAATTCGCTTCCCATTTGCTTCCCTGTTTTCTGGTGGTGAGGGTTAACCTTGTGTGGCTAACCACCCTGAGTTAAGCCATTCGGTTACAGCCACAGTGTACAGCTGGCGTAAGCAGGTCTTGCTTGTTCTTGCTTGTGAGCTCCTGTCCTGTCATCTCATTGGGCTCCGTGGTGAGCGGCTGCTACCGTGGCTGAAACACATACAAAGTTGATGAAAACTTCGCCTTTTACACTTTATGGCCACGTTCAAAAAAGGACCTGCACCCACAGCAAAGTTTTTCACTAACAACAAAAGCACCTTCCATAATTTCCATGTAATCCAAAACGAGCACTCGGAAAGAACAGCAAAGCATGTTTCTCCCTTCAGAGTATCTAGAACCCTGACTGACACCTAAGGGCAAGAATGTAAAATCAAGAAGCTAGCCTATGAGGACCTTCTCTTGGAAGTGCTCTAGCAACACCAGTACGAGAACCTTTTAAAAACCACAGCCTTCGAATACATTACAGTATCCATCACACCTCGCCGATCGCTAAACACCGTTCAAGGTGTCACTTCAGATGATGACTTAAGTTATGTGACTGAAGAACTTCAGAATGGACCAAAGGACCAAAACGTCACAAATGTGTACAGAATATATATCAAACGGGAAAACAAGGAAGCTATGTGCTTGATATTGCCAGTTCTTGTTGCATAAATGAGATCAGAGCCGATAGCGCTACATACTTGCATACTAGAATGATAGTACAAAGATTATTTTCAGTTTTCTTAGAATTTGCGTGTTGGTCGCATGCTGAAAGCTCTTTGTCCAAATTTTCCAAGTGCCTTTATGGAGCATATTCTGAGCAGCTACCAAGAAAACTCGCAACTCCGAGCAGCATTTCGCTTTTGGAACAGTATGGAAGAATTGCTGCACTTCCATCAATTGGTCAACCGGTATGGCTTAGATATTTTGACCAATGCTGAAGACTAAGAGCCGTGAAAGGCAAAAAAGATCAGTATAATAACTTCATGACAGCACTTCGAGTGGCCACGATTCATTTTTCTTTTGTTTTTAATTTGACAGTAAATGTTAATCACAATTCTAACAGTTACGAGTGGTCTAGTTATATACAACATTACAGTAAAGATGGAATTTTTCAAATCACGGCAGTATGAAGCAAAGGTGTAATGAACAATAATTTCTTGGTATTTAAATGTTCAAATAGTGATATGATTTTAATATACACTCTAGAGGAGGGCTCCGGAAACTTCAACCATCTGATGTTCTTCAACGTGACCCCCAACTCGCTTCCTTGAGGCTTTCGGGTCATGAGAGAAATGTAAAGTGTCACAAATAAACATCAGATGCCTGCATGGAACAAGTTGCTCAGTTTCAGTGAAAAGTGCAGGAGCAGATTTATAAAGCCCATTCTAAACTCTCTTGGTGCAAAACAGCTACAAGAACAGTTGTGATGTACCCACAACTCAAAAAATCTTAATCCTGCGAAGTAGGGACATAACCACTGTGCCATTATTATTCTGTGGAGAAACAAAGTACCCACTACACATCTGTTAGGCATTATGTGCGTTTCGTTGATACTCAGGCTGATGACAGAGAATTAATAATATGCTCGGAGCCTTTATGAATAGTGGGAAGCCCTGGTGCCATTTCACTCCTTTGCCACGTTACATAAAATTCTATAAACTTAATTTGCCCTCATAATGTGGTTTTATACTATGGCTACTTTGTACTAAAGTAAGGACAGCTTCTTCAAATAAAAAATTGCATATGAGGGGATACTGAAAAAAAACTGGGCACTTACATGAAAAAAATGGAAAAAACTTGCAAAAACATTGAATTTCTACTTGGAAGGCACCACTGTTCCAACAAAAACAGTTGATTTTATGTATTTTTTAATAGTTGTTATAAATATATTGGTTTCTCGATGCACAGTGACTGCACTAGAGCACGATCTAAACCATGGAGTCGCAATCATATTCCTGCCCTCCTTTTCATCTTCCTGTCCTCTTTTTTCTGCCCCTTTGCTTTGAATTCACTCTCTTCCTTTCACAAAAGCCCTTATGCTTATTCACTTTACCCCCCCAACGAGGAGCACTGCTCATTGCCATTGTGATTTTAGCAACCCTAAGAGAGGCCAAGGAAGCCCACAAAAGTCGAGAACAATAAATATTGTTCGAATGGCCGTTTTCGGTGAGTAACGTCACCTCCTCTAGTTCACGGCATGGCTTCTATACACGGTGATTTGTGAGAAATACTAAACTCAATATTTTCCTTTAGTTCCCACCTGAATTAAAGGTTGTATCTATCAATTTTAGCACTCACTTTTTGCATGTGGCTGAAGATATTCTTAACAAAAATTTTGTTCAGTATCTGTTTAGACACACTTGACTACTCTGACCCTATCTGTAAAGACCGCTTTGGTTCAGCATTAAGTGTGGGCCTCAGTAGCACTTAATTTGTGACCAGCAGGGTCATCCAAGCTCGAGCAAAGAATTTTGGCTCATGCAGTGCTTTAACAAGCCCTCCAAGATTTAAGGCCGAAAACATAAGTCAGTACTCAGGACCATGCTTGGTTTTCCCACCATACTATAAGAAAACAGTGTGTGAGGAAGAGCAATTCTTTTTTCCAGATCAGTGCGGAATATAGAGAGATGAGATCACTGAGAAAGTGGCACAGTGAGTAGAGTGTGAAAAGACACAGGGAGAGTCTGCTGGAGCAACTGTGAGAGCAGAGTTCACAACAAGGCAGATCATACACACCGGTAGTCATGATTATTAGAAAAAAGCAGTGTGCAAGGAACAAATTTTTTTTACAGATGAGAGTGAAATACAGAGAGAAGACTGATGTCACCGAGAAAGTGGTACAGTGTGCAAAGTGTGAAAAGGACACAGGAAGAGTGTGTGTAGCAAATGTGAGAACAGAGTTCACGGCAAGGCACGTCACACACACCGGTAGTCATGATTATTAAAAAAAAAGCAGTGTGCGAGGAAAAGCATTTTTTTTCCAGATGAGAGTGAAATACAGAGAGAAGAGTTGAGGTCACCGAGAAAGTGGTACAGTGTGTAAAGTGTGAAAAGACACAGGAAGAGTGTGTGCAGCAAATGTGAGAGCAGAGTTCACAGCAAGGCACGTCACACACACCAGTAGTCCTGATTATTAAAAAAAAAGCAGTGTGCGAGGAAAAGCATTTTTTTTCCAGATGAGAGTGAAATACAGAGAGAAGAGTTGAGGTCACCGAGAAAGTGGTACAGTGTGTAAAGTGTGAAAAGACACAGGAAGAGTGTGTGTAGCAAATGTGAGAAGCAGAGTTCACGGCAAGGCACGTCCCACACACGGTAGTCATGATTATTAAAAAGAAGCAGTGTGCAAGGAAAAGCATTTTTTTTTCCAGATGAGAAAGAAATACAGAGAGAAGAGTTGAGGTCACCGAGAAAGTGGTACAGTGTGTAAAGTGTGAAAAGACACAGGAAGAGTGTGTGCAGCAAATGTGAGAAGCAGAGTTCACAGCAAGGCACGTCCACACACTGTCCACACACCGGTAGTCGTGATTATTAAAAAAAAAGCAGTGTGCGAGGAAAAGCATTTTTTTTTCCAGATGAGAGTGGAATATAGAGAGAAGAGTGAGGTCACCTGAGAAAGTGGTACAGTGTGTAAAGTGTGAAAAGGCACAGGAGAGTCGGTGGTAGCAAATGTGAGAACAGAGTTCACGGCAAGGCACATCAGACACAGTGGTAGTCCCGATTATATCGAGTCAGCACAGCAAAGCTGGGCTGAACTGGTGGGAAGCACCAAGGAACGCCATCAAAATAAAACTTTTCTGATCATGGGCGGAGGCAAAGGATCTTTTTTAGTAGTGCGAAAGCTACCGGTTGAGTCGAATTCTGGACCCAGGCCATAGATTTGTCCGCAGTACTTGGCATCGTCAATCTGGTCACTGAAGAACACTTTCCGCATTTTAAAAAAGGCTTCAGCTGTAAGCAAGCTGTCACTGCCTGCCTGATGATGTTGTCCAACACGTTCTACGTGAAGTTGGTTTGCCAGTTCTTGTAAGCCTCCTCGAAAGGATTTGCAGCCCCTCATGAGAAACTTGAGATCATAAATCTTTGGGAATATGATCCGCAGCAGTTCAAAAAACTCACCAACGTCTTCAGGCAGGTTTTGATCTAACAACAGCTTGATCATGTAGCCAAAGTCATACCCACTATGAAAAGTGAGCCACCGGACATTTTCAGAGTAGACAATACCAGAAATCGTGAAAAGCTGTGCAAATTCGTTTGGCTCAATGCCTTCTGCACTGTGCTTTGCAAACTGTATGCCCGAGTTGACTAGTAGAAGAATTGAATCTTGTGCATGCATGTCTGCATTCAGATTGAACTTGAAGTTGAACTGCCAGGTGCAGCAGTCTGGGGCTGGGTTTCCAGCTTCATCAAAAAAGGTGAGACCGAGCTGGATTATGTCGAGTGAGTTTACGTTACTTCGCAGCAGTTGATACTGATAATCTGCGGCACTGCTAAAAAACCCGATGGGATGTGTTACGATTCCTGGAAACTCTGTGTCCATAGCAACATAGTTATACTGCTGGACCGTTTGCCTCATGGCCCGGAATTCTTCCTCAAGGTTAGAGGCCCACACCTCTCGGATACTACCAGGCCTGCTGAGGGCTACAGGCTCATATCTTTCTTTGTCAACACCACTGCCAGCAATGTTGACTCGGGGGATGAACACGGCGCCAGGCCCAGGCAGGATCTTTGCATGGCCGGGGCTGCAGCCTCCACCTTCAAGAATACAACGGCCACTTCCGTGTACAGCTTGGCAAGATTCAGTGCCCGGCCCAGGCAGGATCACTGCATGGCCAGGGCTCCAGCCTCCACCTTCAAGAATAGGACGGCCTTTCCCATGTACAGCTTGGCAAGATTCAGCACCACGACCAGGCAGGATCACTGCATCGCCAGGGCTGCAGCCTCCACCTTCAAGAACATGAGAGCCACTCTAATGTACAGTTTGGCAAGATTAAGTCATGCAAAGCACAACACAGCTTTTGTGCTGCAAGAATCTTTCACGGTATTCTATTCATTAGGCTACAAACGTACATTCTGCATGGTTCGAACCAGATGCCACCAAAACTTATTGAAGGGACTGACCATGTTAACACACTACGAAACTATGGTGCAGATGCAGAAACTAGCAGAAGCATTCACATTAATCTGCACACCTTTGTCACAGTAAGGGCACCTTACTTTTGTTTAAAAAGTGTGTTTTTTTTCTTTCTCCTAGAATGTAACAGTTGTAGAAAAGGCCACAAAGTCTCTATGCACTCGGTATTTTTTTTAATGCTCAACACTGAATCTATAACATATTTTACAGGCTAAGTTGAAACTTATATAAGGACCTATGTATGCTACAATAGACTTGTTTGTTTATCTCTTCTCATTGAGAAAACTTATAAACATTCAGTGGGAAAACGACAACTAGCATTTTGGAGCCCAGCCATGAAAATAAACTGGAGCTTGCTGGGAAGAGAGACGCACGTATAGAAAATGAGGAGTAGAGTGGCATACGAGGAGATTGGCTTGCAGATGATAGGTGCGCACTCGTCAATTTTTGTTCTTGTTCATGAACCCACCAAAAAAGTAAAAACAAGCACATCATGAGAAGTGGGCACGAACGTGAGGAGCAAGCAGCTTCAAAAGAGGTTGGCTTGTAACATGGCACTAAAATGTACACTGAACAATCAAAATATGTCCCCCATTCATGTTTTTTTTTGTATGTAATCTTTGAACGAATTAAAGATAGAGCAGGGAAAACTGAAATCAGCCACCAGCTGCCGTACTACATGCGGAGCAACACGGATATGTAGAAGCTTCGGCTCCATAGCCTTCACTTTAATGTCAAGATAAGTTGTCGCCGAATATATAGCAAGTGTGCTGTGGCATTGAAGATTGTATTGGCAAGTGGCCTGAGCACATGAAGAGTGATCAACGTGAGGGGAAATTCTATGAAAGAGAATACATGTATGAAATATTTTAGCAAAAATAAAAATTAAAGTACCTTAAGAAAAAAAGAAAAGGTCGGTGCACAGCAGTGTTGCAGAATAGGTGCTTGCATTCCATTCCTATTCCATTCCAGAAAATAAGAATTTTTCCAGAAATAAGAAAATAAGAATCTGCCGCAATCGCATTCCTGTCAATTTCTCGGAATGAGAAAACTTAGCCCATTCACACTTTGGAAATGGCCGGGCAGTTCTATTCCATTCCAACAGTTTTTAAACGTGGGAAAGGCATCTTGACAGTTTTACTGAGTTAAGATTGAATGCCCCATAAAGCAGATGTCATCAGATGCACTAATAACTGCAAAAGTATGCAAAACTCGTAAAGATCGAGGGATTACAAAGGCCTGACGACATATCTCGGCCCTAATACAGAGCGACATGGGATTTTTCGGTGCGAATCCTCGTGTGAGGACTCGGGGAGGCATCACCATGACCATAATTACATGGCCTTTCTGGCTTCCACTGGCCTACTGAACCAATGCTTTGAAAAGTTTTTCTCTCTCTGTATGGAAGGGGTACAAAGCTACCACCTTCTGTCTCCATACAGAGACTGTTTAAAATTGTACGCTGTGCTGACCTGCAAACCTTCACAGACAGTTTCAGGTAAAGGCACCCATGTGGGCACCTTTGCCCACATAAGCTAGGACGAAAAAGGACAACGCTAGTCTTATTACATCTGTCTCGTCATTGTTTTCGTGCTGGTTTTTACTGTGTATCCTCTTGTCAAGACAGGGGGGAAAGCATTGCATAAAGCAGGGAGGGGGAGTAGAACGTGAGACAGCGTGAAGTGCAGGGTACACGAAACCTTACAGAGAACACAAGCATCACACAGCGCCACTCAGCGTCACCACTAAGAGAAGCGCTTTTTTAAGACACGTCCGAGTCGCCAATGGTGACATGACCGAAAACAAAGAAGTGAAGGGTGGGAGACAGCAGGTGGCTTGTGCCCCACAAAGAAAAAAAATCACAAGCCACAAGAGATTCTAAGCACAGCTGTAGTTCTGCACGACAGATACCAGTGGCATAGAGCCACAGTTGCGCAAAAGAATAATAAACATAATAATTGTTAGAATCTCACATCCCAAAACTACCTCTGATTACGACAGATGCCATAGTGGAGAGTTCTGAAAATTTCGACCACCTAGGGTTCTTATCGTCAACCTAAATAAAAAAACAAAGGCCTCAAGCATTACCGCCCCCATTGAAAATGTGGCCTCCACAGCTAGGCCTGCGACTTGGGGGTAAGCAGCCGAGTGCCTTAGCCACAGACCGCCGTAGCGGGTGAGAATAAAGACTAAGCTTGCAGTAACTGTCTACATAAGGACATAAATGTAGCAGGTGTGCTGCTTATAAATCGACCATGCTTGTTACCTGTCAAGCTATTTTAAAAGCACTGCTTTGTTGTTAAATTCAAGGCTCTGTTTAACTAATGTCCGAGGTTTGAAAAATAATGCGTAAAAAAAAGTCTCTATTTTCGGAACAAGATGTGATTCTATCCCCGTTCCATATCGTGGTCGCGAAAATGTGGAATGATGCCGGAGTCATTGTAATTCCGGAGTGCCAACTCTGCAACATTGGTGCACAGGGTAAATGCTAAAAAACGTCATATATGATTTACCCTAACTTCCCCAACAGCGAATATATTTGGGCACAGACTTAGTACCTGGCATAAGTGTAGGAGGACATGGAGGCAGTCGGTTTCTTTAACGATAGAATCCCAATTCAATCATTTTGACATTGCAGACATGTACCACACTTGCGATTGATGAAACTCGCAGTGATATTTATAGCGTCTGTGTTCTCCCGATCGAAAAATCGGCCACCACAACGTGGGCCTACTTGCTGCCTACCTACCGTGCGGCTGGTGACAGCATTTAAAGACTCGGGTGGAAAAACGAGTTTTCTTCAAAATTACCGATTTCTTTATTTTCACCTGTTTACTGTTCTGGGAAAAAAAATACATGTGGAGACTTAACTGTAAATGCTTTGAAATTGCATCAAAAGAGCACAAGGTGCCTGTTAAAAGGCCCAAAGTGTGCAGTTTTGGAGCATCTTGCCACCAATAATGCGCTGCCACTCGCCATTGTGTAAAAGTCGAGTGAAGAGTCTATCGAAGAGAGGAGAAGAGTCGAGCCTCAGTCTTCAAATAACGAGTTTCCCTCGCTGATCAAGAAATAACAAAAAGAAGCACGCTCTTGAGCATTTTTAGAGCACCACGACTGGTTTATCACGTGGTACGGATCGGGGACCGCCATTAGCCGCTGCACGACTGTATGTGCTGTGAAGCCTACTTGCGGGGTCCATGTCTTGTCGAGCAGCACAGCTGAACAATGCTTTTGTCATGCATTTATTTCCGTCATGAATGAAAAAAGCCATTGCTCGTGCGTGAAAGCCGTTGTGGCAGCACGCTCTGTAGGAATAGGCTTCAAGCAGCTGGTTCGATTTGCGGCAGTTGTTGACTTGCAAAAGCCAATGCATCAAAAGTCATTCACAGCCATCAGCCGGAAAGATCGTCATGCAGCGATGGATGACGTCAGCGCCAATCTTGCGAGACTGAAGGAGCTCACAGTGAGGGAACTCAGCGGAACTACACTGCCATTATGTACGACGGTATGTGGCACAAACGTGGCAGCAAAATGGCATTGGCACTGTTGTGTCCTTCGATACTGGACATAGTTTAAGTTTCGCAGTCCTGTTGAACTTTTTCTTAGCTTGCAGTCGGCAAAAGGCTCTGCCAGATGGAGCGAAAGAACTTTGCCAAGCCTTTCATGGCTCTGTCTGTGAGCGAAATGTCTGTGAGGAGTCGGCTCAAAAAGTCGAGAGGGACAAACTCATGATGCTGGCGTATTTTTGTGGCAGTGGCCACTACAAGAAGGGTTGTTTTTTTTTTTTTTGGTGTGCGAATTTCCTTGTATTTAATGACATGTTTCATAAATAAAAACTCAATTTTAACTTCAAATCTCATTTTTCTCAAAACACAAAATTTGCTATTTTTTTCAATGTGCCCCTCGTTTTTCTGACACTTCTAGTGCTCAGATCTGCATGAAATTTTGCCCAACTTTTTTCCAAAGTATCACAAATACATTTATCTAATTTAATTTAAATAGTCTATTATATAGTGAAAATTGTATGCAAACCTTTGCTAGGGTAGGTTAAATATAGACATTTTTACATCTATCATTTTTCATGCATATTACATATTTAGTATGCACTTCCTAATTAGTTATTTGTATTCTACACTTTATTTGAAACATTATGAACTATGTATGGTAAAAATTACAGAAGTTTAGGGATGAAAAGAGGGGGAGGCAGAAGGGTCAGGGTTTTCACTTTGTCAAGTCACAGAGCTATAATTATGCAACTTGCAAAAAACTAGTTAAATAATTTAAATCAGCATAAAGAGTTCCATAAACAGCTGAAGTTTCATTGCTCTAGAGTGAACATTAAAAAAAGTGTCGAGTAGTATCTCCCTTTAAAAGCAGAATGTTTACAACGTTAACATAAATTGTTAATAACTTGCTACATGCAGTGCAACACTTTTTGGCTTGCATGCTCATCTACAGATATGGAGTGTTTTCCTGATGTCCTCAAAAAGGGCTTCGGGAACCATTGAAATAATTAGTTCTCTTCCTGAGCTAGTTTGCTTTTGGTTTACACCAACTCATTATGTGGACTTGTATATTAGGCAGAGCATTGGCCACGACCCAGCATATGTCACTGCTAGTGAAAACAGAAGCGACTGCAGTAATCTGTAATGCAACAGATGTTGACAACATTGTTTACTGAAAATTAAGCTAAGGCTACCACAGTCAAATATTTCCTCAGTTTATGAAATCCACTACACTACATATTACCAGAGTTGAAAAGTGTATCAATCTGTCTCCATGAATTGGTTGCATACTTTTCATAAAAGGAGGTGGTTAGGAACTCAGGTGGTGAAGGCAGCATGTAAGCTTTTCGAACAGTGCTTCATCTTTGGCAGTAGTCTAGGAAGCTGCATTATTTTTATTCAAATGCACATGGTAAATGTTGGTGCTTCACTGCCTTTGC